AAAAAAAAAGAGAAAGAGAGAGAGAGAGAGAGAGAGATTATAAATGTAACAATTAATTGTGGTGGGAAAAAATAATATAGATAAAGAAAAAGTGAACCTATAAATGTAACAATTAATTGTGGTGGGAAAAAATAATATAGATAAAGAAAAAGTGAACCTATGACTATGTTTATTGTATTTCAACTGGGACTCAATCAACAAGTATTTCTCATTATTATGATTTTTTATTGTAAAAAAAAAAAAGAGACTCAATCAAACGTTAACTGTTAATAATTAATATTGAATATTAGTGGTAAGTGGGTTTTATTTTTGACCTGTTTTATGGAACAGTTGGTCTTGGCTCCAGTTGTTTCATTTTACTTAGCAAGCCCATATTTTATGGGCCTATACAATAAGATTTGAGCCACGGGCTCAGCTTCCAAAAACAATTAGAAAAGAAAAGAAACCAGGCAATTAGTATGGTAATTGTTGAACCTAACTTTACTTTTCCCTAAAAAAACAAAAACATGTTTATTAGTATTTAATAAATATTACAGAAATCTTAATAAATAAAAGTTTATTTAATAAAACTCTTTAAACTAATATAAAACTAAAATATTTAAAAAATATTTGTCACCCGTTTCTTTCCGTCAATACATGACAAAAACTAGAATCAATGATTAAAAAAAAAAGACCAATTTGATTTGACAAGATGTGAGGAACTCATGTCTTTTAATTAAGATTAAAAATTAAAGAAAAATATCAATTTGGATTGGTACAAATGGCAAAGAGATCAAACTTTTACGAATACAAAAAAAAAATGTAAGTTAAGAAAAGTGTTCATGTTAAAGCTTAAAAAAAAAAAAGATTGTTTATGCAGTTTGGTAATAATAAAAGAAAAAAGAAAAAAAAAAAATGTGACGATAAAGTATAGCATGTGATCAAGTAAGTGGTCAACTTCAGTATAGACCAATCACCAAATATTAAGGCTCCATATCCATATTCCATAGCTTCTTGTTGTAACGGACTCAACCACTGTCCTTTACGCATCACCTTCCACGTTTCCCATCTAAGTTGACAACAAAACTTTTAATTCAAAACCCAATCAATTAAAATAAAACCAATCTTATTTTTTTTTTATTTAAGTAAACATTTACAGAAACATTTTTAAGATCTTGAATTGGAATAAATGAAGAGAAAGAGGTGCCTATAATTTTACATGACGTTAATTAATTCCATTAAAAGAATAAACAGTTTCATGGAAAAGGTTCCAAAAAAAATAAATTTGTTTCCCCTTTTTATAAAAGGAATCCTGTGTTAAATGGAATTGAGATAGCTTTTGTTATAAGCGTGAAAACGTTGTGAATCCGTGACAGAGACACCAACGTTGTCATCCCTTCCTTCTATTTTCCACTTTTACACTTCTCCTTCTTCAAACCTTCCTTTTAAATTCCCGCATCATCTTCACGATTTCCCAGATCCGAAATACCCAGAAGGGAAAGATCGAAGCTTTGGATTCAAACATGTGTTGTGGGGGGAGGGTCTGCATGCTTTGCACGTGCCTCATTCTGGTGGTGCTCGCCATCGGCTTGCTGTTCGGCTTCGGAGTCTTCAAACATGGCTTCCACAAAATCAAAGACACCGTCAGTTTCTGCGATTCATGCGGTGGCGCCGCTGGAGGAAGGCCATTCTTGGGCCACGCGCCGCCCCCCTTCTTCTAGTTCACTCTGTTCTTCTTGTTTTCTGTTAATTGTTTTGGGGATTTGTTTTATTCGTTAGTTAGGGTTCGCATTTGTAATTACATGTTTTTTTCTTGGGATTCATTTTCATTTTCTAATGAATTGTCTTTCTTGTTATTTTTGTTGATTTTCTCACACCTACTTGGTAAGCAGAACCCGTGTTTGGATTTTTTTTTTTTCATTAAATTATCTTAGTTGTTTCAAGAAAAAACTCCATGCTTTTTCTAATTATTTTTTCTTTTTAGCATAATAGTTTCTTTACTTATTTACACTAGGAAAAGTCAATTTTAGTATTTTTTTTTTTTTGTTATCGCGTAAGATATTTGCTGTTCCTTCCAATATACGAACTTTAAATAAATATTTTTTTAAATCGAAAATTTGAAGCATCTTACTATCTAACGAACAAATCGATGATACATCAAAGAGGTACATGTTGATATTTGAACTATAATGTATATACGATTGAATCCCCATGAGTTTGCCCCAAGTGTAAGTGAGGGATTCGAGAGTAATGGATATGGATATGGATAGGGATATTGGATAGGGATTGCATCAATCTTCAGGATAAAGATTTTCAAAATTAATTGAAAATAAATAAATAAAGATTTCATGGAAGTGAAATGAGTTACGTGGTTTCTAAATTCCTTAATGGTGTGTTTGGATGAGGAATTTATATGGGGTAATTTATTTATTTGAAGAATTTCAAATTCTTTGAGGTGAAATGTTTTGTTTGGACGAGGAATTTACAAAGAATTTGAAATTTAAATCCAATCATTTGTGAAATTTCTTAAAATAGTAGAGTTTCAAATTCTCCAAAAAATGGGAGAATTTGAAATTCCTCATATTTGTTTTTCTTATTTCACCTATATATTTTATCTTATCTCTTCATTTTTTTAATTATTAGATATTCAAGAATATTTTTAAAATTGTTAAACATTATCTAATATTAATTGCTAAAATTATTAAATATTATCTAATATTAATTTTTAAAATTAATAAATATTTAAAAATGGATTAATATTTATTTTTATAAAATTTAATTTAAAAATCTCAACATATAAATATATTTTTAAAATCAATTTTACTATGATGGAATAAAATTATCATATTCAACCTAACAATTTAAAATTTAAGAAATTTGAATTGACTCATCCAAACAAAATATTTTAAGAATAATAGAAATTGAAATCAAAGTAATTCAAATACCAAGAATTTAAAATTCCTTGAATTTGTAAAATTCCTCATCCAAACACACTATAAGGGCTTTGTTCATCATTTGCACCACTCACACTTGATGATCACTACTGTGCAGCTTCCCTCGATATCCTCTCTAAAGCCCTGTTTGGCGAAGAGGTGAAATTAGAGGGAGAATGAAGAAAGTGAAAAAAAAAAAAAAAGAGAGAGAGATAAATACTAGAGTAAAAATAAGAGAAAAATGGTGTACTAGTGTGTTTTATTTATATATTAAATTAAACTCACATAATTAATTATATTGAAAAATATAATTGATTGTGTAAATATCTGAATGTGTACTAACATGGTTATGTTTGATCTAACAACAAGAAAGCATAATCAATTTGTTTTATTTTCTTTTCCTGTCTATTTTGTGTCTAAATTATAGTGCATGCCAATAAATTGGTTTGCTGGAATTACATTCTAACATTCTTACAAGATGCAATTACACTTTTAGATTGTAGACAAGTTTTTGTGCAAATGTTCAATCTAGACACATTGAAGAAGAATGCAACATATTGAAAAAGGTAAAAAAAGAAGCTAAAAAAGTTCCAACTTTAGTATAAATGCTTGGAAGAAAAGGAAAGATTGCCTAGCACATAAAACAAGCATACTAGTTACGAGGATAATGTTGTAATTGAATAATATTGAACACATTATTTTTGCATAAATTTACTTAATTTTGTAAGGAAGTTTTTAAAGTAAGAATACTAGTTAGTTGCATAAATTTTCACATATTTTCATCCAACATCTCTTATACTAAACAACATTTAATAATTCACATGTCCTTATTCTTTTTTTTTTCCCCTTCCTTATCCTCTTTACTTCCACTAAAACATACTAGCTACAAGGGTAACATTGTAATTGAACAATCATAAACACATTACTTAAAGTAGGTCTCACATAACTTTTACCAACCCCTCCTTCACGAAATTATATTTAATAATAAACAAGTTCTCATTTATTTACTCTTCTTTTATTATTCACTTTACTTCCAATACAACATACTACTAGTTACAAGGCAAATTCACTTTCTTTTGTCAATTTTTTTTTAAGTTAGTCTCTTACATGTGACTTTTGTTGACATTCACTTATTTTTATTGACATAACTAATAGTTGATTTTAATGTTTTGAAAAAAACAAATACAATTAATTCTTAAGAACAAGAGAAATAGTTTGGTATTCCTATATTTTTAAGAAATATTTTTATTTTCTTTTTGTAAATCTCAAAGTAGACTTGTGATTATTATAATTTTGTATATAAAAATGATTCTATGTTTTTGTGTATATAATTTTTTTAACTGTTTTATTTTTAAATTTTTAAATAATAAAAATTAGTATAAAAAATTAATTATTTTTATAAATTCAGTATTTGAACTTGAAATCTTAAAATTTAAGAACTAGACACAATACCAATTGATTCAACAAATATCAGTAATTTTTAAATACCTTTAAATAAATATAAAGGTACAAAGTGTCTTTATCTCAATCATAGTAATAATATTAAAATAATAATAATAATAATAATAATTTATATTTATATTTTTTATTTCTCTTCACTTCACTTTTTTATACACTTTTTTTTTCTGTCTTTATTTCTTTTATCTCTATCAAACAAAACCTTATTGTAGCCCAAAATTGCAAAGCAGATGATAAACACACCTTCACTCTCGTATAAACACACCCAATTGGATTCACACAAAGGACCCTCGTTGGGATGGGGAATCACATTCTTTCTCTGACCAAATTAAATTCTCTTGCTAGGAAATCATCCTTTCAAATAAAATAAAATAGAATGCGTTGAGTGGTTAAGTTGACAACTTATTTTGATTCTCAAAATTAAAATAATTACGCTGTGAGTAAATTGGTTTCAATACTACTCACTTATTTTTTTTAAGAAATATATTAAAATTAAAAATTGAGTAGTATTCTTAGTTTCTTAAAATAACAAATAAACATGTGCAATTATAAATGATTTGACTCGAAAACGATGATAAAATCTAACTTTTTTTTTTTATTATCGTATTTTATATTCTTCTTCTATACGTACTTATATATGTCTAGATGAGTAGGTGATGTATAATTATACTAAAAAAAATTTAATAAAGATTGATAGTTGATTTTATCTATAAAGTCTTATTCTACTATAAATTTTTTTAAAATAAAATAAAATAAGAAACAAGTGCGAAGAAAATCCATACAGCAAATGACATGGGAAAGAGACAGAAGTTGTTAGATGCATTGTTTGATTTGTTGAGAAGGACCCCACTTTTGCATGCTCCACCATGCACCTTCTATATACCTTGTTATCATCTCTGGAATTTCTGGGATCTCATCGAAAGGGTCACACAACCCTTCTCTCTCCTGCTTCCTCCAGCAATGACACTGACACAACTTAGAGAGAGAGATGCCTCAGCCTCAGGCAAAGAGATTCTTGCATGCAATAGTCAGATGCAAGCTAAAGCAACACACAAATCAATCTGCTATGGATATTTTGATTTCATCTCACTCGATAGAGATTAATTCTATTCATATATAGTAATGTAATACCACTGATGATGCCGCTTATTCGAAAGATTTTCGTACACTATGGATATTGAATACAAAATTTCTTTCTAATTAAATAGTCTTCATCATAACGTATAAAAGTTGGTTGATTTAATTGATATTTGATAATATCATATGTATTTTAAATTTATACTCTCTTCAATCCTATAAAACACAATTTTACTTATTTTAAGACATTTTATATTTTTTTTAAAGTATTTATTTAATTTTTTTATTTTTCATTTATTTTTTTTCTCTATCAAATATAAAAACTATACGCGTTTGTTATTCTTAAATAATGATGACAGAGCTTAAAAATAAATATTTCCTCTCTCATCTTAAGAATTTTCAAATTATCATTTATCAATTTTATTAATATTGGTGCATAAAATTTGATTAAAAACAATATTTTTACATATCTCATGACAATTTAATCTATAACAATATATAAGATGATACATTATTTTTCTGCACATATTTTTAAGATAATTTTATTCTTTATTTATTTTGATAATTACACATCCTTTTCTTTTAGTGTAGAACAATTAGTAATATTATTTTATTAATTTAAACAAACAATTATAACTTATTCAAAATGATTTTTTCTTAATAAACCACAACTTTACTGTAATTTTGTAACTTTCACATAAGTGCCTTATTTTGTTAATAATAAATAAGAAAGATAAAATTTATTCATCATGATTTTTTTATAAAACTAATAAAATTAACTAATTGTATTAACCAGTGTGTTTTGTTATAACCTTATAATAACCATTGGTAAAAATTTGAATAGGGGCTCTAGTGACAGAAATTGAGTTAATATACATAAAATTCTAGGTATAAATTTTGTTGGTATTGATTTATAATTCCAACAGATAAAATCTTCTAATTAATTTATCATACTTAATAGATTAACTAATTTAGTTAATGATATTAATTTTACGTTTCATTCCCAAAACTATCTTATATCACCCGCTAGATATCAACTACTAAGCGTGTGTTTGTATATAAACGTTCTCCCAAACGTGAACCTACATTTTCCGAAAGATACTCATGGTTGCTTCATTGTTTTTTCTTGGGAAAGTGTGATTGTCTGTTGAAGACTTTAAGCACCTCAAACGAAAATCCAAACATGACGTAAGACATGACATTTTCTATTTCAATTAATATACATATAAGCAGGGTTTGCAGCTGCAGCCCTGTCCCCAGAAACATTTTTATATAATTCGGGAAAGAATTTTCCATAATAGTAAGAAGAAGAAGAAGAGGAGTGTCAGAAAGAGAAAGAAGAGGGGTGTGCGAGGTGCGGGAAAAAAAAAGAAGAAGAGGAGTGCCAGAAAGAGAA